CTTAGGTATAGGTATGGTCCTAATGGGGAGGTCGCAAAATTGACCTGACCTTAGGTTACCGATATCAAAATTGCGAGATAATATTTTGTGCATACTATTGCTCTCATCAATCTCTGAAAGCTTCAAAGCAATCGGTCACTCGGTGTAGCTATGGCAGACATAGGCCGTTTTTACGATGGGCTAGGTATCCGGCGCGTGCACTGCACCTAATTTGACCAAATCTGCACCTAATCTCTTTTACAGCAAATATTTTTTTGATGAATTTATTTCATTGTTTTAATTGATAATGATGATGCTATCTGATAATATGACAAAGCAGGCAGATAAGCAATTAGTACAACCCTAGCTGATAGTTACTAAGAGATAGTAGCCGTTTTCACGACGGCCGTCTGGTACACATTTGGTGCATTTGGTCAAATTAGGCTCAGTGTGTCTCTTAGTAGCTGTCAGCTAGGGTTGCACTAATTGCTTAACTATAAGCCTGCTTTGTCATATTATCAGAGAGCATCATCGATTAATAAATTCATAAAATGAAGATATTTGCTATAAAAGAGATTAGGTGCAGATCTGGTCAAATAAGGTGCACTCGCCGGATAGCCCGTCGTGGAAACGGCTACACTGAACCTAATTTGACCAAATCTGCCACTTATCTGCACCAGATGTGAACTAAATGTGTACCAGATGGCCGTCGTGAAAACGGCTATTGAAACCTTTTATGAGGCGAGGTCACTTTAAAGTTTAAGTGACCTAGTCACCTGACCTTGAACGACCTTGATCTGAAATTTTTGAACATGTGTAGAATTGATGTGTGCCAAAAACGGCGGCGCCGGGGGGTGTTCACCCCCCAGCAGGGCGCGAGTTAATCTTCTCAAAAGGAAAAGCAACGGCTCTGGTGAGTGGTGTTAGCTACGCAACAAAATGTAATGATCTCGTGTGGTACGCCGCAGTTACTATATTCTGCCAGGCTTTGCAACTGTCAGAACAGGTGAAATTCATATGATCCGACGGGCCGTGCCCACCCTTATCGTCATCATGTTGCGACTGTCCGGATCGGGTATCAGCTTGCAGTGAGCGGCTAAAGCCCTCACCATTCACCGTCCATCAATGTCCCGGTGCGGCCCCCAATCCGCACTCAGAGTAGACTTTCACTGCAGCTCTGTGCTTTAAGTTTATACGGACTCACATGGCAGATGTGCCTATTTGGTGTTATTCTCGGCGGGCTGGATTACGTATATCATAATAGCCGTTTTCACGACGGACTATCCGGCGAGTGCACCTAATTTGACCAAATCTGCACTTAATCTCTTTTACGGCAAATTTCTTCATATCATGAATTGCTTTGTTTTGATCGATGATACTCTCTGATTATATGACAAAGCAGGCATTTAGCGCAACCCTAACTGATAGCTACTAAGAGATACACTGAACCTAATGTGACCAGATCTGCACCTAATCTGCACCAAATGTGCACCAAATGTGTACCAGATGGCCATCGTGAAAACGGCTAAAATGAATCGTCACTAAATCATGCCTGAGATTAGGAACATGTTCACGATAGAACATCTCAAAGTAGGGAAATTAGGTATAAATAAAAGTAGCTCTCATATATACTCCTTGCATTGTTCTGAAGTAGGTAGGTATATCTTTAATAACTTTTAATACATATTCCTCTTTACAGTCCCTTTACCTTTGCATCGATTTTACATGCCTACATTCCCTTTAGCTTGTGTCAGGAGTTTAATGTTAGTGTGAAGGTAAACGTTGTGTATGATTTGCGTACGAATGTTGCCGACGCCATGTGCGTTTATGTACTCATTTTAAATTATGACTTCGTCAATCTATGGACCATCCCGTCGGCGCTTCTGAGAAATAAATAAATAAATAAATACATAAACGTGCATAACCTATGACGGTTTTCTACCCGATGCCACCACCCATCAGCCATCACTAACCTGGCCGGGCCCGGGGGCAATCCCAACCACCGCAGCCCGGGGGGGGGGCGTTTTTCGCCCCCCCCCCCCTGTCTAACTCCGTAAATAAGGGAGCTACGGAAACAAAAGCGATACCAAACGAAAGGTCCTTACGAGACGATTCTAATGCATCTAAAATTTTTGACCTCATGTCAATTTTCAAGGTCAGAGGTCAAGGTCAAAGGCCAAAACCGGCACATGTGTAGTGATCTCAAAGTAAGCCTTCTAGAGGACGGCAGGCTGCATCAAACCGGCAAAATTGGGTGTCAAACGAAAGAAGAGAATTTGAGGATTCTGAAAACGTGCTCCAAATCAAAGGTCAAGGTCAAGGTCATGCTCAAAATTGACCTCAAACTTGGCACTTTTTCGCACATCTTGCGTGCTAACTTCCAAGATGTTTTGAAATGTTTTGAGGCTTATCAGTTCCCTATTTGTGGTTCATCTTACGATACAAGGCTGCTCAAAGGTCAAGGTCACAGAAGAGTATCCCTGCTAGAGGCTATTTCACTGATTCAAGTTAGTAATAATAAATAAGACAATTTTGCCATCCGGAAGCTCTAAATGAAGGCTTAGAGGAAAATAGATGCCAGATTCGTGATCAGCGGGTACAAGTCCATCATAAACGACCTTTCTTGTGTTAAGGTCAACCAGAGGTCATTCGAGGTCACATGAGGTCAACATGAAACTTGACCTTTTCCGAGCAAAATACATATCATTCGACGCGGCTTGACAAGGCGAATGCGATGGTACCACTGCCGTAGCTCTAGGACCATTTTTGCCGAAGTTATTTGCGAAAAACTAAAACCACATTTCGGGGCCGTTGACCTGACCTCTGACCTCAGGTCACCAAAACTATTTTTTATTTTTCTCTAGGTCAAACGCTACACAGCCGTGCTCGTAATTTGGCTTTATCTCTAAAACTCTATTTTTAGCAGCTATTTGAAGTTTGCGTCTGTGACGCCGAAGTTTGCCGTGCAGGGGTCTAGAAAAATGGACCTTGTGACGTCATCAAGGGGGCTAGGTCCAAATCTTTTCCTTCAGAAGATGTCATATTGATGGGAGAAAAGGTACTGAAAGTTTAGCCTTCCTATCCCTAAGCGTTTGGGAGTTATCGCAAATATTCGCCAGGGGGGGGGGCGAAAAACGCCCCCCCCCCGGGCCCGCGAGGGCTAAGCAACTACATATAGGTAAAGGTACATATAGGAAAGGAATTGATTAAGTATTAAATTGACCTACGTAGTAAGACCTACGCTGCGCAAATAAAAACGTTTTGAATAATGTGTACCGTGGTCCTACAAAAGGAAGGCCTAGGTAAGTTAAAGCTTTTTCTTAGTTCTAAGGCCAGTTTTACCGACAGAAAAATAGCCGCCTGCCGGAATTTTTTGCCTGAAGACCGCTTCACATATACGGACTACGGAGCGTAAGCGCGATGGGCACGTAAGCGGATAGGGCTTTACCGTTTACCGTACTGTATGTGAAGCGGTGTTTACTAGAAATAAAAAAAAATCCGGCAGGCGGCTATTTTTCTTTTGGTAAAACTGGCCTCTGAACATAAACGTATGGACCACTACTTGAACTTCATAAGCATTTGTCTATAAGCCGTTAGGTTTTTTGAGTGAAGAGAGGTCTCATATGTTCGGGTCACGGGTGTGCATTATTTTGCTGATACTGTTTCTTTTAATGTACTCGTCCACAAAAGGATGGACAGTAGGAACCGTAAAAGCACAGGCATATGCATACGTATAACAAAAGTATATTTACTGAGTACATGTTTCTGTGTAATGGATAGCAGGCAGATACACCCAGTCGTGCCAAAACTCCTCTGTCATGGGTATTACATCTTAGAGAACGAAGTTCATTGCAACATGGCGACAAGGTGCAAACTACAGATAACTAGGCTTACATATAGCTAGGCATAGGTACTCCCACATGATGTGTTTGGTATACAAATACACAAATACTAGTATCTCTTATGCTAAAATATCGTTAGCATGTCTTACCTACCGCAAAACGAGACATGTGCTATCCTTACCTATGCATAAAAAACTATAACTTTTTTATCATCTGAAGTAGTCGATCGTCATCAGAAACGCACAATTTAGTGTAGCATGCCCTTGATAAAATATTGTGTCATTTGTTTACCTCAAACCGTCGGATCAAAATGAGCGCTGAAAATCGCGTGAGCAGCACTAGTCCACTTTTAAGGAACACTATTTGCCTTCGACGCTTGAACGTAAAAGCATAGATAACCGTCTCGGAGAGTCTCATTTGTTCATGAACTTAAGCGGAAAATAAACAACTTACCAACCAACATAGAAATGTAGAAACACTTTGTCGCCCGATTTCTATACGTTATTTAAAAACAACACCTAAGAATATACGTTATTTAATGGAATGTTTTAGTCGGGCAACTAAACACGACAGGGGTTACTGATCTATCTGAAATACTATTTTTACGATGTCCCAATTTTGAAGTCGGTCGTAATCAGGAGTAAAAGGTTTCATGACGAAGGTGAGTTATTCTTTTTTTCAAAAAGCTACCGACATAGATTACATGAATCTATGCCACCGATTATTGAAGCCCGTTGTTTTGCCATTTTAAACTTAGAAGAAAAGGGCACGCATGTTCTTGAAGAAACGCCTTTGGAAGTTTTTGATTGATTTTTTACATCAAAGACATATGAGTAACGCTACTTGCAATGCATACATTACTGAATAGGTAGGTATTCATCTAACAATATTTCTGAATGTTTGTTAAATAATTGTTTTTGTAAATGTTTATATCGTGCATTATACATTAATACAAAGATTAACAAAACAAACAATTAACGCTAACAACAAATACAGCGGATATAAAATATTGAGATATGTTCATCCAACAGGTGGATGAAGAGGCGTCAAAGTCCAAGGGACCATAGGTAGTTAATTCGGAATGGACTGGATGGTGCGGCAACTGCAGCTTCCACTCAATCGAAGGTCTCCAGCTTGGTACATCTGCCGCAGTGCAGGCGGTGATCTATATACTCTGGTGCAGGCCTTGCAGTACAGGTCTCGTGCCTGAGTGACGCCATTTTGTAATCCTGAAACGGTAGGAGCACAATTAGGCACATACGAGTATACGGCGATCAAGATTTGAACTGCACGTCTTACTTTACGGTCGCATAGGAAGTGGCTATGAACGAAAGTCCTTTTATTATGTGATTAATGTTTACCGAATAAGAGAGTTCACTGAACTATAATTATATGTATATAGAGTAACGAAACAAGACTTAGCAAAGTCAGTGTTACGTCTAATATAATACATTTGTTATAGGAGTTAAAATCACTAGAGAAACTACAAAAAGAACTTTAATAGGATGACAAAATAAAGCAATGATCATGACCTGACCGAAAGAACTTTAGGTATACTGATGATAACCTCCTTTGTAGGTAATTATGCCTATTAGTGCTGTAACTTTGTTTTTTCCCAACGAGGGACATAGAGCGGGCTATTAAAACTTCACTGAATGCCCTTTTAGCAAAGAGAGCAAGCAACTTGTGCACAAACTTGCCGTTATTGGCTCATGACGATAGCATCCCGAGCAGCAGGGGGCGCACTGTTGAACGGACGTACCTATCAGTCGAAGCCCATGGAGTCCTGCAGTTCCGAGAGCAGCTCGTCGAGCGAGACGCTGCCGGAGACGGTCGTCTCCCGCGGCGAGCCTCCCCCAGTAGAGGTCGAGATGGTCTCCAGCCATTCGATCACAGGAGACGACGAGCTGGTGACCGGCGCACTCTGTGAGCCTGCGGACACGTCCAGGACATCCAACAAGTCCGAGAGCGAATCAGAAGAGAGCGATTTTGCAGAGGATCGGGAATTTTCAAAGTCTTTTAGCCAGGTGCTGAGAGGAGATGAAGATGAGTATGAGGTTGTTGATGAGGATCTGGGAGTGTAAAGGTCCGTCAGAAGGGAAGCAAGTGAAGTGGGTAGAGAGGAAGAGGTACTGACCGAAACACCAGGCCTGTTCAGGCTGGACAGCAGCGTGTTTATGACATCACTGGAAGGAGAGGATGATCTTGATGAGGATCGAGATGCCATCCTGGACAGGAGGTTCATGATGATCGAGGAGAAGCGTCCTGGCGAGTGTTTCGACGGCTGCAACCTGTTCAGCTTGGAGATCCACCTGATGAGAGCTCGGAGGGCGGCGCGGGTCGACATCGGCGCAGGGATGTCGGTCACTGTGCTGTCAGAGGACTGCAGGGGCGCTAAGGGACGCTCTCCGCTCCTGGCCAGCGCACGGATAAGGGCGGCAATGTCAAGAGGGCGCCTCGAGTCGTCGTCCACCGCTGTGCCGTCCTCGTCCGTCTCTGAGCTCTGTGGATCTCTCAGGAGCCGGCGGATGGCCGAAATCAGCTCGGATACCGTCCGGTCCGAGGAACTGCCAGACTGAGTTCCACCTGTCGTCGCAACCACGATCTCCGCCTCCGAGGACTGCCTCCCCAGCAGCTGCTTGATGATCTCTCCGATACGAGACTCTGTCGTGTCGCCGATCGACACTGAATACACGTCTCCGGAACCCGATGCTGAAGTCGTTTCTGGTTTCCTCATGACATCCAGTACCTTGCGAATGAGCGACAGGAGCGAGCCTGTGGATGACACGTTATCGATTGTCTGCGCTGACTCCTGTACAGGATACGTAGCCTCGTTGCCCGTCAGCGAACCCAGACCGTTCCCTGAGAGCCAGCTGAGGAACGGGGAGGTCTCGGTAGACCTCGCAGACTCCTCCACCTTCACTGAGGACCGGCCGCTGACGCCTTTCAGCAGTCTGTCGAGCAGTGACGTGACCGGGGCAGACGACGCGTCTCTGGCGGTGGATATTGTGTCGTCTTCGTAGTTGTACGTCGCTATCGGAACACGCCGAGACGCTGGGGAAGGGGACGACGTGTCACTTAGTAGCATAAACATTTCTGGCATAGGTATGCATGTATCCTCTTATATATTTCAATTTATCTGAAACGCGCTTTTCATGGCCCTTATATTTGTATATATACCTACGTAGGTACAGTGATTTTTCCTTCCACCTCAACCACGTGTTTCGAAAAGATTGCATGGCATTGGTGGCATCCTCACTTTGTTAAGAGTTAATACGCATAAACGTATTTACCTTTAGAATCTATTTATTTTTATTATACGTCTTTAAGCTGAACAGCCATGGAAGTTAACCCGCGCCCTGCTGGGGGGGTGTTTGAACACCCTTGTGGTTTTTCGCGAATATCTCAAAAACGGCGGCGCGGAGCGCCGCCGTTTTAAGTACACCTTATCATACATCAATTCTACACATGTTGTGAAAATTTCAGACCAAGGTCATTCAAGGTCAGGTCACCAGGTCACTTGAAGTGACCTCACCTCATAAAAAGTTTCAATGTCTGTCATAGCTACACCGAGTGACCGATCGCTTTGAAACTTTCAGCGATTGCTAAGAGCAATAGCATGTACAAAACTTATATCTCAGAATTTTGATATCGATGACCTAAGGTCAGGTCAATTTTGCGACCTCTCCATTATAAGTCAATGGGAGAAAATTGAAATGCGCCTCTTTTGGACGAAAGACATTATAAACACTCCCAAACACCGAATTACAAGTGGTTTAGACACACTGAACATGAAAATGGTGTCCGTGACCCTTGTTTATGCCCTGAGATCATCTTAGGTCACGAATGGTATCTAACAGTTTTTCGCAAATAACTTTTGATAGAGGCATGCTAGAGTTTCAGCAGGGCCTCGGCTAACATGATAACTTCTGGGGCAAATGCCCCAGTAGAGTCGAGGAATGCCCCAGTAGTGGTCAGGCTTTGCCCAACCTCCACAAAATGAGAATATATCCGTATTAACGTATATTCTTTCATTCAGGAGCGGTTGAATACGTTTGTGGCAAGAAATCAGGGGCGGTGGAAGAGGGAGTGCACAGTGTGCAGCTGCACCCTCAATTTCCATCCAAATACATAGGCGTGCATTGGCAAACATATCTTTTTGCACCCCATAATCCATCTTCGTTCGAAAGAGCGTCAAAAATAATGACGAAATTACTTCGGCAACTTTTTTGGTCAGGTTGAAGGTCAGGTCATGGTGATGGCCAAATTTCGCCGATTTTCAGGTTGAATATCGACAGTTTACAAGATGCCGACGCATAACTCGGGAACCAATTAGAGCTACAGCGCCGCGAAAAAGCGCGTTTGATAGCCATATTAGCATGCTTTCTGGTTATTTCTCTTGGATTTGACCTAACGTCAACGGTTTTGACTGCAAGGGGCAAAAACTACCAAAATAGACGATTTTTTTTTCGGGAACAGTTCTTCTGCAATAACTTTTGACTCATGCCTTGCATGAGCTTTCTTTTACCGACATCGTGTTCCTCTCGTCAAGACGCATCAAATTAACTACAATTTGACCTTGAAGGTCAACTTGAAAATTCGACCTCAGGTCAAGGTCATGATCTGACCGGAAATTGTCATGTTGCATATCAGTCGATCTGCATCGTCGAGCCAAACAACAACTAAGGCATTTTCATCGCTCTAGCATGCCTCTTTCAAAAGTTATTCGCGAAAAACTGTTAGATACCATTCGTGACCTAAGATGACCTCAGGGCATAAACAAGGGTCACGGGTGCTATTTTCATGTTCAGTGTCTCAAAGTCACGTACAGTGTTTTATAATCTTTAGAATGACTTTCGTCCAAAAGAGGTGGTTTTGAATTTTCTCCCATTGACTTATAATAGAGGTCGCAAAATTGAGCTGACCTTAGGTCACCGATATGAAAATTCCGAGATAAAAATTGTGTACATGCTGTTGCCCTTATCTTATCAATCGCTGAAAGTTTCAAAGCGATCGGTCACTCGGTGTAGCTACGGCATACATTGAAACATTTTATGAGGTGAGGTCACTTGAAGTGACCTGGTGACCTGATCTTGAATGACCTTGGTCTGAAATTATTGCAACACGTGTAGAATTGATGGATGATGAAGCGCCGCCGTTTTTTGAGATATCCGCGAAAAACCGCAGGAAAAACCGCTGGTGTTCACCCCCCCCCCCCCCCCAGCAGGGCGCTAACACACTCTGACGATTTGCCCCAGTAGTCAAAATTCCTTAGCCGAGGCCCTGCGATGAAAACGCCTTAGATGTGTTCAGCTCGACGATACGGATCGACTGATATGCAACATGACCCTTTCCGGTCAGGTCATGACCTTGACCTGGGGTCAAATTTTCAAGTTGACCTTTCGAGGTCAAGTTATAGTTCATTCGATGCGCCTTGACGAGAGGAACACGATGCCGGTGAAAGTAAGCTCGTACAAGGCTTGGGTCAAAAGTTATTGCAGAAAAACTGTTTCCGAAAAAATCGGTTATTTTTGCAGTTTTTGCCCCCTGCAGGCAAAACCGTTGACGTTAGGCCAAATCTGAGGGAATTACTCAGAAAGGGCGTTAATAGGGCTATCGAATGCGCTTTTCCGCGGCACTGTAGCTCTATTGGTTCCCGAGTTATGCGTTGGCTTCTTGGAAACTTTCGACATTCGACCTGGAAATCGGCGAAATTTTGCCTTCAATGACCTCTGGTGACCTGACCTTTGACCTGACCAAAAAATTGACCGAAGTAATTTCGTCATTATTTTTGACGCTCTTTCGAACGCCGCCTTCCGCGTATCGCTACGTGGCCCAGGAGCCGAGTTAGAAGGGGGGGGTGTTTGAACACCCCCCCCCCCCCAGCAAGGCGTGGAAATCCAGGACCCCCAGCCGGGCGCGGGTTAACTTGACAGTAACTCGCACTTTGCAATGCACTTACAGTGGAGCGTTTTGCCAAACGCGCTGTAGTCCTGTGAGTCGATAGCTTCTTTAGTCCTCTTGTATAACGATTTGCCCAGCAAGGAGCCTTCTACAGTTGCAGACAGCAGAGGCAGCAGTGCCAGCATGGCAGCCAGACGGCCAAACGGAACCTCAGTACGACTGAAACGAAATTATCATCACAGTCAAGGGAAACTTTGAATTATGCGCGTTTTGCAATGCATTTAGGTACATCGTTATGGCGCGGTGCATATGCATTCACATTCCACATCACAGGTCTCACAAATGTATAAATTATTGCAGCAAAGTTTGCTCGATGTAATTATCAAATGAATGATGTACCTACGTACGACGAATAAAGCAGCAGAGCAGGGATAATCACAGAAGCCCATATGATATCGCCTCAAAGTTGGTAGGTATATGGCGCATTGCTCAACACCAGCCCTCCCAAAGCTGAGCTGCCGGCCCCTCTCACCGCAGTTACTCACCCCATGTCGGAGGTGGGAGGCGACCTTGCAGTTCTGTGACGGTGCTGGTGGCTCACTAGTACGGTGGTGTGGTGATGGGCCAGCTATATACCGGCTGAAGGGCCGTCTCAGCAGGGCCACGGCAGTACCGTGACCCGGGCACGAACGGCGCACCGGCCGGACCACACGTGCGGGGGTCCGCCGAGCACGCACCCCGTCAGCATGGGGAGGAATGGGGCCGCACTGCGGACGGAGCAAAATGCATCGATTCGCATATTTAAAGGTAGTGTGCCAGCTTTCTTGGACCGTATGGAGTTAATGGCCCAGATAAGGAGAACCGGATTTTTAGAACTTATCCATACCTTCAAAACTCATGGAAACGTCTTAAATTCTTCAAATTTTGAGTACCCCAGTGCGAAATTCGCCCCGACGGGTTGTCGGTCGTACCCCAACCACATTTCACACCACTATGAACAATAAATGCACACACTGAAATCGCTATTACCGATATGCTCATCCAATCAAGTTTCGATAAACCCGTTCATCATCAGCTCCTGCGGTTTCGAACACGCCTGTTAGTTGGCTTCTGATGCTCGTCGAGGTCGGAATTTCCAAATACGCGTGGTGCGTCGGGCCGCGCGCTCTGACTTCGGCCAAGAAAAATGCGTCAGCTGATCATTGTCATTTCTGCCACTTGCGTGTGGTGAAATGGGGTCATAACTTATAAGACGGCTTTTTCATATCAATTATTTTACATAAAATCATATTTCAAACCATAAATAATGTTCGACAGCCAAATAAAAGAAACAATACCAATACGGGCTTACAGTTTAAGGCTCGACATTGTGTTGTCTACGATTAGACAGCTGATAACTCATTCCCGTACGTCGTATGGTCGTAACACTATAATGACCTTTGCTTATTGTCACAAGTGCGCCGCATTCGCGATTGTTGCCCGACGCCTGTTTGCAGGTGAGCCCACTACAGTTGTTATACATATCTAAAAACCGATAAACTTTTAGGCGAAAAAGGCACTATTCCAGGCCCATTTTTGATTTTTTTGCGATATTAGGTAAAAACAGAAGCTTCTAATCCTAGGAAAAATAAAATGGGAAATCTTTCAAAGGTGGCACACTACCTTTAAGATACATGTGCTTTTTAATAACTGAGGCTGCTTTGGATATGGACATAGGTATAAGTTATGTGTATGTTCACGAATGTGTATGTTCACGTTAAGATTTAATTGGCTGCTTTGCAATAAGCACACATATTAGACGACCCAATACAGCACAAAATAGAAGGTACCCGACGCTGGACTAATTACACACTATGCTCCATGCTTCAATTTCTAGTCTTACACATGATTCGTGCGGTGCCGCCGGTTTGCTAACGTAATACGTCAGCCGAAGGTAATGGATGCCGTTTGAGTACCGCTTTTGCGCCAAGGACAAATACCTACAATAATACAAAATAAGTAATACAGTGTTTGCTTAGGCACAGTGTGCAACTTTGTCCAATGGAGATAGCGTAGACCCGTAGCATCTTAGAACAGCATTTTTCTATTCAATTAAGCTCTGTTACGTACGTCTTATTTAGTACAGACCTGAGGGCTGAGACGATGCTCGTGTTGTCTTCTGCTCTGTTCAATTTTACACAATGTGTTTGCCACGTTTCTCTGAAAGGAGCGGTAAAATATTGCTGGCTGTTGTCCCCCGGTTTGGAAGAACCGTCCTCCCTCATTCCCCCACGCCCCCCCCCCCTCATCTTTGTAAAAGCGTACTACGCTACCCACTGTGACTAGCCTCCGTCCTCTGAAGCACCATTCCTCCAGTATAGCGTGCATTGCGGAACAGCATCACTCAGCTCGTGATACTGTTCCGCAATGCACGCAGCGCGCTGTAATGTGTAACAACCGCTGGCCGTATTACGAGTTCGTTTATTGTTCATCGTACCTCTTGAAAGGTCAGTGTCTCCTGAGTTATAAGATATGTCCTTTGAGACAGCTGACATTCCTGTGGTTGGATGATCTCGGTGTAACAATTATTGTAGGCATACAGTTAGGGGAAGGTGGGGTAAGACGGCCCAGCGGGGCAAGAAGACGGACCACCAGCCCTCCCGGCTAAACCGCTGCTGGTATTTACTGCTTTATGCACTCACTATGTTTGTTTTCCTTCGTAACAATGGCCACCTTGAGCACATGCTGCTAGGATGCATAGCTTTTGAGTTATTGAGAAAAATGTTGTTTTTCGTCAAACCGATCTAATATAAGAGGTCTACGGGTGATTCAATTATGGCGCCTTTCTTGCATGATTAGTTTCTATTTTGCACTTAACTGTGAAGAACAAAGTTATAAACTTAGTTATAGTCACACTTTAAGAAAGGCAAGGTTTTGCAATGTTGGGCCATTTGACATATACGTCATGATAATGACAGAATTTAGATTTGGGGCAAGACGGACCACTGTGGTCCATCTTACCCTGTGGTGGTCCATTGAACCCTGCATGTGGAAAGTTCTTTTCCAAAACATTGACACAAGTTTAAGTAAGCTAATTTTTCAGGAAAGAGTCTTTTTTGCATGTGAGCCATGCATGCAAGTGCTCAGTTAGCATGCATTCATGCCAAACGACAATCAACACACATGTTCCCAGCTTTTAGCTGCACTTCCATCACACATGAGTAAAGAATAAAGGCTCATTTTGTTATTTTACCAGTCTGGTTACTTTTTCTTACAAGAGTACAGAGCAGAAGTGTAACACACATGAACGGATAGCAGGCACTGCTGGGTGGTCCGTCTTACCCCACGTTTTTTCTTGTCTGAGTTTTTGACATGTCCCTCTTTAAGAGCATCCACCACCTAGATGTCTTTAATTTGAAATTTATTCTTTACACATATCAACAGAGGAAGGATTGAGCATTCCGAAGACTATAAATAATATGAATTACGAGAGCAGTGTAGCAAGATATGCGGCCTCAAACCTTGGCTGGTCCGTCTTACCCCACCTTCCCCTACGTCTTATACTGAACGAGCGGGTAGGTAAGAAGGTAGGTATATAATGCACACAAACCCTTTTAAAAGTATTTTTGTCTTAATTGTTGAACTTTCTCAAGTTTGTTGTAATAAATCGTTGGCTGTAGCTTCAAGAGACCGTTTAACACATCAGTTATACACTATATGATATTTTTCGCCCATCAAATGTGAGTCAATTATCAATTCTGTGAACGGTGCGGGACAACTCATCCTTTTCCACCGACTGTTACGATACTTTTCCTAAAAAGCATAATGATCAAATGGCTTTTACTCGACGTTAAAGAAATCTGACCATTATCTTTAATATCATATACATGATTTGGAAGTTTGTTGTTAAATGAACGTTTATTCTTATGTTAATTGCCTATTTACGTGGAGTCAGTTTTTTTAGAACTTTAAGACTACAGCCATTAAGTGAATCTGCTTGTGCTTGGCTGATTAAATGCGTAACTATCAGGGATTCAATTCGGTGAATTTTCATTTGAGAAAATTTTATCCGCGAAAGCAACCCGAAATCCCCCCAACGGGTAAATGAAAGCTCGTCTATTTTTTTGTAAGCACATGTGCACGTTACCCATGACTCGTGTTCGTTTTTTATCGCTGTCGTTTCAGGAAGTACCTACTTGCAAAGTGTTCACTCTGTCCAATTCTGCCCGTAATGCTTCGTTGCGCTGTTTTCATGACCTGAATTCTGAAGAAATTTCGCTGATCCTGAATTCTGAAGGAATTTTGCTGATCGGGTTTGTGGCGTCAGAAATTAACGCTAAATTGGCAGCAAGGCGGCATTGCCGAGATGAAGTTACCAATGAGGCATATAGGGGAGCGAAAGGAGCACTCCTGGTCGTAAGGACACGCGTGTTAGCTGTCGACTCCTGTCCCCGTCATGATTGGATTGGTGATGTTTCTATCATTATGTTTCGAGTTTCGACCAGCCGAAGTGGCAATTGACCAGTGGCAATAGCTATACGTATCAGTCTATTGAGAAAGAAGGCGGAAGATAGGTACATAAAAAAGGAAACCCTCTGACCCACCACGTGCAGTTCCGATAACGGATATTACTTTGGTCAAGCAGTGGTCACTTTCTCCCACTTTTTGTATTCGTCTTAGTCTGCAATCTGCTCTCTGCTCTGCTCTCTCTAGTCTCTACTCGGCTCTCTGCTCCGCACTTTGCTCTCTGCACTCTGCTAGCTTTCCCAACAGGGAAAGCTAGCGGCACCTGGTCAAAGTCACTACAAGTCACAACGCCGTTTACCGATGTTTAAAAGTTTATTATTCGCCGTGTATAGCATGAGGTACAGTTTACAAACTAATAGTAATACCAACATGGAGATCCTCGGGTGCATTAGTGACAGTTAAAGCGCGCTGTTTTCTTGCTGACCACCTTCTCTGCTCTTTCCTTTGCACATTTATCCAGCATTTATCAGTCCAAAGGACTGGTCAGTGGTCAGTGAGGCGATATCAATGCTCCCATGGAGAGACTCGTTAAGTAGGTACAGTTTTGACGTTCGGCTACAACACTAATGCCCAGGATGCATACAGTAATAATAAATACTAACGGCACCAACCAAGGCATCGTGAGGGAAAATCGGCGCGCGGTATAGCAAATATCTAACCCATTTCTCCCAGCATCACTTTTTTTACCTTCCCTCCGACAAACACATACAGCATGCTTACATACATGCATCCAAATTCAGGCATACATACTTACATACATTACATACACATTACACACGTAGACATACAGCATACACTTTACTTGTAGAGTTGACATTTGTCCCTGTCTTATCTCCATTAGCAACCAGAAAGCAGGATATGTCGCATCTGTTGTTGTTCAAGCAGTACCAGATCCTCGCTTTGAAAACGTTTTTTTAAGTGGCGGTTCGTCCTCAACCGAGGCAAAAATAGCTCCACTGTATTTTCATGTCAGCGTTCCTGTTTATAAAACACCCTTTTCAATAATGAGATCGCATTTGTGCATAACGGATGCCCAGATGAATCACATAAATAAGGGTAGTAGGTGAACATTTAAGTGCTCGGGATGACGGACAAAAAAAAAAATCGTCCTTATGCCAGACGAGTCAGTTAATGAAAGCCTTCATCGCTCAAAAGAAGCGTCATTTACTTCGCTAGTCGCAGCCTCAAACTGTAAAGGCCTGGCTACACTACGCGTTTTCTCAGTGCGTTTTTTGCGAGTTTGCGTGATTTGCGTAATATCCTTCTATAGAAAGAAACGACATTACGTTTTTGTTATAAGTTTTTCACATAAACTTTTTATTAATATTAAAGTTTTATTAATTTTTAGATAATTATTTAAGAAGTTATATTACTAATAACTTTTTTCTAGAACGATATTACGCAAATCACGCAAACTCGCAAAAAACGCACGCAGAAAACGCATAGTGTAGCCAGGCCTTAACAATTCGAAGAAAAGATGTAGGACGGGAAGTATTTGAATTCCGTCAGTTTTCCACAGTTCTCCGTTCCTTGTTGACGCTTCAACGTAAAAACCGGCAAAAAGGGAGAAGACCTCTCCATTCGCCCTCTTCACCTTCTCCTTCGGTCATCGTTAGGGTAAAACATCGTTCCTTTCACATCAGTTCCGTCGTCCGTCTCGTCCGTCTCGCTGAGCTTTCGGTCGTTGTCCGTCTCGTGCGGTCACCGTCGATGTGCAGCCACGGTGCGCACGGCCGTGGTGGCCGCAGAGGACTCCTCAGTGCCAGGCCGGTCCCTCAGCTCGATGTAGCGCTGCAGACTGGGCGGCAGCAGGGAGACGGACGGAGGGTGCGGGCCACGCCGCTCCGCCAGCACGCTCCGGCGGCAGAGGGCGCTGAGAGGTGGCGGCTGGCGGGCCGCCTCGGCCAGTCTCCGCCAGAGGTCGGAGGGGCTGCGCGCCGGCGGACGCTGCAGCAGTACCGGGGCTGGACGCAGACCGAAGTCCAGCAGCAGCTCCAGCAGCTGCTCGCGGCCCCGGGTGCCGAAAGCGGCGGACAGCGGGCTGCGGCCGAGCACGTCAGAGACGGTCGGGTCGGCGCCGCGCCGCAGCAGCGTGCGGACCAGCTCTGCGCGGCCGCCCTGCGCCGCCAGCAGCACGGCGCTCTGCCCGATGTCGGTAACGGCCGACGGATCGGCGCCGAGCTCGAGCAGCGCCTCCACGGCGGCCACGTTACCGGCCATCACCGCCAGGTGAAGGGGCGTGCAGAGGCGCGCCGTGCGGCTCTCCAGACGTCCGCCGGCGCGCACCAACTCCGTGAGCAGCAGCGAGTCCAGGTAGGCGAAGCCGGCCCGCGGCGGGCTCGAGCACAGCAGGTGCAGCGCCGAGTCGTGCGAGTTGGCGCACGGGGCGGCAGAGGCGCCGCGGCGAACCAGTAGCAGCGCCAGGTCGTGGTTGGCGCGCGCACAGGCGTTCATCAGCGGTGTGCGTCCACTGGCGTCCGAGACGTTCGGGTCGGCGCCGGCGTCCAGCAGCAGGCGGGTGATGTCTGCCGGCGGTCAGTGGGAGAGGGCGTTAGTGAAAACAAAGAGAGGGAAGAGAATTAGAGACCGAATATAGGTACAGGAGGCTGATACCATGGCGGCAATCTCCTCTGGATGGATATGATACGAGACATCACACGGTGACGCTTAGCTGAAGCTTCGTTATAGAGGTCAAGAATTCGTCCCAATTTGGTATCGTTGAAAATAACCACGCCTCCATACTCAAGCACACCGCAATCTGACCGATAATCTTCTTACTTTGTAATCCTCTTCGGATAGTCATGGTATTTATGTCTGATCGATAATTGACTTTCTGTTCCTAATTCCTAATTGACTTTCTGTTTGATCCGAGCGCCCCGGTTCATCTGAACGTATTAGTCAAATATGAAGCTTAAGCACAAGTGGCACAAAACCAGAAGGTTCGTGTCAACGAATTTAGCAAACGCATCTCATCTCACGCAAAGTACCTTTGCGAGTATTTATAAGTACTTATGCTCAGGAAACGTGTCATCGATCCTGTTGCCATTTGCGGTATCCACGGAAGTACTACCGTACTTTGAGTACTATGTCACCGATACACCTACCTCAAGAATGTAAGCAAATACTTCTTATCTACCGCACTCCTCCGTTTCTACTTCCCATGTCAACGTCTCTCTGTCTGTATCCATGCTCACCAGTCACCATCCTCCGCTGCCCAGTGGACTGCGCTACGCCCCAATCATCTGTCCATCTGCTGTAACCGTCCTTTTCTGAGACGATTCCCGGCCCCTCGTTAACCCGCGCCCGGCTGGGGGTCCTGGATTTCCACGCCCTGCTGGGGGGGTGTTTGAACACCCCCCTTGTAACTCGGCTCCTGGGCCACGTAGCGATACGCGGAAAACGGCGTTCGAAAGAACGTCAAAAATAATGACGAAATCACTTCGGTCAATTTTTTGGTCAGGTCAAAGGTCAGGTCACCAGAGGTCATTGAAGGCAAAATTTCGCCGATTTCCAGGTCGAATGTCGAAAATTTCCAAGAAGCCAATGCATAACTCGAGAACCAATAGAGCTACAGCGCCGCGGAAAAGCGCATTCGATAGTCCTATTAAAGCCCTTTCTGACTAATGTTCTCAGATTTGACCTAACGTCAACGGTTTTGCCTGCAGGGGGCAAAAATTGCAAAAATAGCCGATTTTTTCGGAAACAGTTTTTCTGCAATAACTTTTGACCCAAGCCTTGTACGAGCTTACTTTTACCGGCATTGTGTTCCTCTCGTCAAGACGCATCGAATGAACTATAAGTTGACCTTGAAAGGTCAACTTGAAAATTTGACCTCAGGTCAAGGTCATGACCTGACCGGAAAGGGTCATGTTGCATATCAGTCGATCCGTATCGTCGAGCTGAACACATCTAAGGCGTTTTCATCGCTCTAGCATGCCTCTATCAAAAGTTATTTGCGAAAAACTGTTAGATACCATTCGTGACCTAAGATGACCTCAGGGCATAAACAAGGGTCACGGACACCATTTTCATGCTCAGTGTGTCTGAACCACTTGTAATTCGGTGTTTGGGAGTGTTTATAATGTCTTTTGTCCAAAAGAGGCGCATTTCAATTTTCTCCCATTGACTTATAATGGGGAGGTCGCAAAATTGACCTGACCTTAGGTCATCGATATCAAAATTCTGAGATATACATTTTGTACATGCTATTGCTCTTAGCAATCGCTGAAAGTTTCAAAGCGATCGGTCACTCGGTGTAGCTATGACAGACATTGAAACTTTTTATGAGGTGAGGTCACTTCAAGTGACCTGGTGACCTGACCTTGAATGACCTTGGTCTGAAATTTTCACAACATATGTAGAATTGATGTACGATAAGGTGTACCAAAAACGGCGGCGCTCCGCGCCGCCGTTTTTGAGATATATGCGAAAAACCACAAGGGGGGGGGGTGTTCAAACACCCCCCCCCCAGCAGGGCGCGGGTTAAAAGTATGCTTTCTTATCTCCTCTCCTCCTAAGTCCTAACCGTCCCTCTCGGCTCTCTGTCCTCTCACCAAGCCGTATTCCCATACCTGCGGGCGGCGACCGTCAGAACAAACCCACCTCCCCGTATTCGTACTCCGGCGACCCTCAAACTGAGCCAGTCTGATCTCTGCCCTGACGATCCTCAAGCAGAGTCCCGTCCTCCGTCTTTCTTTAGCTCCGGCGACCCACATGCCGAGCCGCCTTCATCTGCTCTCCAATGAGCCGTCTCCCTCAGTGACCCTCAGGCCGAACAGTCCTCTCAGTCCCTGCCCCGGTAACCCCCAGGTCAAGCTCCAGCTCCTTGGTCTACCCTGCCCCGGTGACTCCAAGGTAGAGCACTTTGACCCTCAGTGAGCCGTCTCTCCTGCTCCTGACACTCAGGTGAAGCTCCGTTCTCCCTCCAATCTCCCTCTGTTCTCACCGAGCCGGTTGCCGTCGGCTGCGGCGTGCAGCGGCGTCTGCCGGTGTGCGTTCCGCGTGTTGGGCGCGGCGCGGTGCTTCAACAGCAGCCGTACGGCAGCCGTGTGACCAAGCAGTGCGGCGCTGTGGAGCGGGCTGTGGCCCGTCGAGTCCAGCTGATTCACCGAGCAGCCGCGAGCAATCAGCAGCTTCACTGTTGAGCAAACAGAGCGAGATCGGTTAACAGCAGCTCCACTGTCAAGTGTCAGGGTACACAGAGCGAGTACGGACGGTTAACAGCAGCTTCACTGTCGGAGCGTCACAGAGTGAATTTGGTGAACAGCAGCTTCACTGTCGGCTCGGCGCGCACACGTAGAAAATACGGCTATCAGCAGCTCCACTATCAGAGCCGTCAGCCGGGAGCAGTGTGCACCGCAGCATACATAACAAAAAGGACGGCACAAAGAAGAAGCAGCTTCAGCTTAACTATGTAGAGTGCGAGCGGAGCATAGCAGAAACGATGCGTAGCTATTAAGTTAGTTACTGCGCAATGGTCGGAGAGAACCTAAAAATGTGTTACAGTTTGTATACGCCCTACGCTACGCTACCCCTAGTTGTCTGTAAAGATCGCAGCAGCAGCAAACGTCAGTTGCTCCCGTGTGCACTCAGACTAAAGAGAAGTACCTATACAGATGAACGCGGTCTGCTGGTGGGAGACGATTACCTACTTACCGCTTACGTCTTACTCCCTCGGAGAAGCTTCACTACACTAAGATCCCTTGCATAAATAGGCATAGCAATAAGCAAATGCAATGCAACGTCCAACGATGGAAGTTTATAAGCACCTGTGCTTCACAGAATTTTGTTGGCAATTTTATTATAACGAATTAGCAGCTTATTGAGTGACCATGCAAGTCGCGAAGATAAACACAAACATCATTCACTGGAAAACGGCACCGCACCTGACTAGACCATGCAAACTGCAAGTACATGCTGGCTCATCACATTACAGCGCTGAGGCTCATGAATATTCGCGGCAAGGCTGTCATGACGTAGTCAGTCGGTTGAGGATGTCACACTGACCTTGCTTTACCTCCACTGTGCAGCTGGCTCGAATATGACCGGACGGATATGGTATAGGTATGACACTAGGTCGTCCTTCAAGTGTCAAGGATATAACGTTTACAGTATATAACGAATGTACTTGGAACGTACTGCCGTACGTATAACGTATTATATAACGAGCGTACTTATTGCTCCTGCCACCATACACACTCAGTGAACTTATGCCCCATCGGGATGTCGCCGATCAATGATCAACTTCTTATTATTAACGTGGCTCCTTGCCACGTATTCGCTGAAGCGTAGGGAATTTCCCGTGACGTCCTAGAACTCGGCACCGTAAGCACAAGAGATGGGAGCCGACGGGTAGAATAACACTGTGCCGAGCAAATAGCAGGTGGAAGGGAATAGGCGGGGAAGTTCCCGATGAGTCACGCGGATTGCGCAAATGGAGTCTCTGACTCTGACTCTCTCGATTTAATGCGAATAGGCTCCTGCTCTGCTCTACGTTGACGTCAGTTGGTATAATGGTGTTGGCAGGTATGGCGGTTATTAAATGTCAAAGTACTTTGGTATCGGCAGATAAAGCTGCCCTTAGATACCGGCGTCACTGTTGGCTGCTGGAAGCGGAGTCGGCCAGTGCTTATCAGTCGCTCCCACCGGGCCCACCTGCCAGTGTCGCCCAGTAGGTAGGTACCGGGTGGTCACCATGGGGTGCAGCCACCCGGTACAGGGAGCCCGCCGGCTCCAGACGCCGGCTCTGGCCTTGTGCACTGTGCAGTGTGCACTGTGCAGCTGCTCGATTCATGGCCGGCGGCCCGTGCGAGCGCATCAGCATACCGGTGCGTACAGAATTCAGCGGTGCCGCCGGCGGACGGAGGGTGCGAGGGACTGCGGGCTTCCTCGAAACGCGTCTGCGCGGGGACCACTGGCAGCCGCAGCCTGCTCGGGGTCCACCATTGGAGTCCGGCCCCGTTAGAGATAAGGAGGGTTTGAAGGGTTCGTGTTACTGGATATGCTGGGATACTGGATATGCTGGGATATATCGGCGATTCACTCTGATGAGTTGACATTTGATACAAAGGTATTTATGCGTACCGCTCAGTGCTCGTGTCTCCGGGCTAAACATAACTAGACCACGTCTACCACGTGGGTCTAGTAGGCTAGTGAGCTGGCTGTAGTGCAACCGCACTGCCGTATTCTCACCGATGTCGGTGCGTCCCTCCTAGCTACCTTTCAGGTTGTACCCGCGCTGTACTCACATGATGTCTGTGTGTCCTTTCTAAGCTGCCCCCTCCCTCTCCCAGCTGCCTCCCCGACTGTACTCACTGATGTCAGTGTGTCCTCCCACGTCCCCAGCTGCCTCCCCGACTGTACTCACTGATGTCGGTGTGCCCCTTCTAAGCTGCCTCCCCTCCCAGCTGCCTCCCCAAATGATACTCACTGATGTCAGTGTGTCCCTCCCAGGTCCCCAGCGTCTCCCCTACTGAACTCACTGATGTCGGTGTGTCCCTTCTCGGCGCATATGTTGACGGCCGGCCGGATGGCGGCGCCGTAGTTGAAGCGGTGGTCGCAGTCGAGGCCGGACTCGAGCGCCTGCGCCGCCCGCAGCTGGTCGTTGCTGGTGATGGCGTGCAGCAGGTGGACAGGCGCCAGCAGCATGCGGTCCAGCGCGCCGCCGCCGCCCCCGCCGCCGCCCCGGCCGCCGCTCAGCACCTCCGTCATCGCCATACAGACAGCGGGCAGGCCGGCGGGACTGCAGGAGGGACGCTGGCGATGACCGAGCTAAGCTCCACTGAGATGGTGCACCAAGGAGGCCCACACTAACGGAGAAGATCGGCGATGATATCTGGAACAAGAGGACACAAACTGCGTGGTAATTAATGACATCCCACCATCCGAGACCCGAGTGACCTTTGCTTAGACATACAAGGGTGTTGAATTGAGTTTCATGGCGCTGTACCACGGCAGTGACATGAAGTGGTTTTAACAAAAATGTAAAAACAAATAATCCCCGTCTCACTGGGCTGATTACCATTTACCAAAAACCGCACTGGGTCAGGCAAAGCGGCGCGAAGGCCACAGCGCATAAAGCGCCGCGGGTACTGTGCGGCTAGCACAGAACACGATCTAGAAACATCAGATCCTATTATACTGGCCGCACCTCGACACCGCACTGGACCGAGGACACTACCAAACAGCGGGTCTGAGAGCACATGCATCGCAAGCAGTGTGACCAGTTTGGCAGCGTCCGGCAAAGTATTGCATCACCATGTAGGACTCGATATCTGCGCTAGCAACAGCCCTCGGCGGTGTCCTCTGTAGCTATATGCGCATTTCTTTGCTCGCCCAGAGCAGTGAGTCACGACTCTCAAGCACCAAATTGGTCGACGGAACGATATGACTTTGTGTGGTGACTGGTGTGCAAATGAGTCATGCCCTTCGTGCTCCATCCATTTACGCATTTAAAATTTCGCAGGTTCGGAGTAAGCAGTGTCAGACGCTGTATCGGTTGGCCAGTTCAAAATGCAAGGTATAGACTCCCTGTTGTGTTGATGTGTGAGCGTGAGCGTTATTATAAGCGAGCTTCCTCCGTCAGGTAAGTCACCTCGTCAATCTGACACTGACCGAAAACTATGAGATGTTGCGTTAAATTTTCGCTCTGCGTCAACTGCTAGAAACATGCCTATATAATAGGGGGACCCAATCACACTGACCCTTTGTGTAAACGCATACTGGGCTGGGAGACTCGGTTTGACATGGATGGATATGCCTCGAAGTCGATAGTGTCGGTAAATATTTTGATTGCCTCGATTAGTACGTTTCCAGAGGCCTCGATGGCCGATGCACTCCGTGATCGTCATGCGGAAATTAGCTTGAAATGATGATCGCAGCGTCCTGATAATCTTACGTAACTACATAAACATCTCGGCGGTTCTGTCGGGGCACACGATCAGCTGAGGGGCAGACTTAGCGCGCTCGCCGCGGCTCAGGATGTGTTATACCATTGAACGGTGCTGAGAGTGCATCGTCTCCCCGATTTACAAACATCCGGGGCTCTGCGGTATGCCGTAAACCAGTTCACAAATTTCCCAGAGATCAGAACTTCCAGCGTTGTTGATAATAGGGGTAGGTAGCTGTAGCCTGTATATTATCTTATCGTATTGTCCACACAGTCGAACGTTTCAAGTAGCACGTTCTTACGAACATGCACGTTTAATAAAGGTGATTGGTGCACGCTTATTCAATACGATCTTTCTTATGTATAGGGGACCGTGAGTCTCCAAAACAAGCAATAGACGGTTTATTTGTTTTTTTTTTTGCGGATAAGAAAGCCAAGGAATTATCAATAGGCGTTGTCCTGTTCAGCTTCGATAATAAGTTTTGAACTTTCCGGCTTCTTGCTAAGGAAAAAAATGTAAACGATATATACGAAACCGTTTACGTAACGTGTACGACTACGAAACCCGTAACGTATGCGAAAGCAGAACAAGTGTAGGCATTGGGAGACTTCGACTCATTTGGCCTAAAGACTGCTGATAAATGTAAAATGCAAAATGCATAGGTAGATAACAAATCAGTTATTAAAGGGTGGTCGGACCGTGACAAATGCAATGGCACGGGTTTGGCCCGCCACTCGACGTTTGACAAATAATCAACGGACCTCTTCAGAAGTGTGGTAGGTCGCGGACGCTACACAACTTCCGATTAGAAGAAATCAATCACAGATCACTCCAAATATAAAGGCGTCGAGACATCTCACACAGTTGACTATCCTTGTCATTGTCTGTGGCACACCGAAAAACAATGTTGTACTCTTCTAATCAGTCATTTCGTTCAGTGTATCCACGCGACACGCACGCGGTCGCCCCAGACCCACTTATAGCTGAGGAGCGGCGGCGTAGAGTTTCCAACAAGTCACCTTGGACCACTTGGCGGTGCCGCGGTCCTCGACCCCACCGTCCCACCGACATAGCGCTCCCGCGGCACTGACCTGAGCTGACCTTGACGGGGCGGACGCCAAATCGCCGGTCGTCTGAGCCGTTCCGTCCCGGTCACAGCTGGCTCCGATGCCCGTCTATTTCTGTGTTGTGGCGCGACCCACCACTGCTGTCTGGCCCACTCGCGGTGTCGCACAGGCGCGTCGTCCCCCACCGGCGGTCGGAGGATGACTGAAGCGCGAACGGTGGCGACCGGCGCGCTCGCGCTCTCCCGGCTCGCCCGCGGCGTGGCGGTGGCTCACCGCCTGTGTTTACCGTCCGGACGCGACTCGCTCGCAGTCAAAGTCAAGGTCAGAGCCGGCAAAAACGAGTTGCAGAGTCCGCCGGCGCTGGCGCGGGGTTACGTCAGGGCAGTCCACCGATTCGCGAACAGGACAGGGCACCCGGAGGCGACGTGCTGCGAAATCGGACTCGTCATCCATATCTGGCGCCGATAGGGAACAAAGGCAGAGCACCTGGCAGAGCAAAGCCCGCGAAACGGCAGATGGTTAGATCGGGGACGCGGCCCAATCGATAATTACAAAACAAGGCAAACATACCTATTATCTACACAGCAAGTAAACAGTTCACTATTTTGCTCCTTTTTACTTATAAGCTGCATATAAATCGATCTTATTGCCTGCCGTCTCGCCTTCTTGGACTTGCAAGATCCTAAGCAGTGATGAAACAGTGTTAGCTACTTTCGTAACCGTCTGTGCGTGCCTGTGTCGCAGGACAATGACCCCGCGCCCTTACACTGTGTCTGTTCTTCTGCGCTCTGGCTTCTTTTTAATAAACAAGTGCGACTTGTGTAATGTAAACGAGCTGAATGGCACAAAGGTCTGTGGTGAATGTGTATGTCACTGAATGTGCTGCAAAGTGCAAAATGACAAAGATGATATGAAATTTGCTATTTGGGCTTAATTTTCTCTCATCTAAAAGTACTGAAATTATTTATGGGGTCCGAGCCCTATACCTGGCTTATACACAACAACAACCATATTGAATTTGATGCTTGCGCGCTTATTGTTCACAATTAATTTTGCATGTGTTTCAACAGCGTGAGCGCACACGTGAGCTCCAATGGTCAATAGACTCACCTTCAGTCACCAGCGGGATGACCAGTTTTTTTTTCTATGTTATGTGACCCATCGCGTCGGCCTGTGTTCAGCGACGGACCATGAACCAGTCACCTCGTTATGGTGCTGGGAGTGAGGGTCACTGACCTCTCGCCTGTATCCAGGCCGGGCAGACGGACAAAAAATGACGCTACCGGCCGGCCACGGGCGGCTGACGGTCTCCAACGCCGCCGGGCACGTCACGGCGCTGGCTGCTAGCCGATAGCCGCTGTCGTCGCTGAATATAAATATAGGACCATAAGGGACCGGTATATTATGCTATCAGTCAGTCACATATTTTCATCATATTTCATACGCATTTTTACAATGTCGTATTTTCACTAGTCGTTTTGTGTGGATACCAACAAGATCCGTTACCGTCAATTGTGCCTACTTTTTATGTATTTGTCCGTCGATCAATGCTGTAGCAGAGCTATACAGTGTTATACGGGTGTTCCAATTCTACCAATCCCTATTAGGTATAATAAAATCATACTTTCAGCGGAGCAATCAAGCAGGGCAGTGAACCGTCATAAGGAACAGTAGTAATCGGCATAGACCACTTTTAAGTCGTTGGATATGGGCACGCGACCTCTATGTTATGCACGATAACCTACTCAGCTACAAAAAAGCAAAAAACGTTGGACGTGTAGATTACTCCTTTGGCGGGAAACAGAAGGAATTCTGGTCCAAAACATGCTTCGACTGCTTTCAAGCTCTGTAAACACAGTAGAAAGTCGCCCGTTAGGCCGTAGCACTAAAGAGCAGGGGCAGGGCCGATAGCAATTCGCACTTGAGCCAGTTACAGTTTGCTAATACGCTGCAATTCAACTAGAGTCGTTTATTGCCTAATCGCCACATAAACGTCCCTAAATGTTAATTAAAGGGACTATCCCACCTTCTAAAATGTTGTTAAAACCAGTTAAATTGTGCCCGACTTTAAAGATTGGATGACCAGGAACACGGTTCTGGCATTTATTTTTCATTAAAGGGACACTCCCACCTTAACATTAGTTTTGAGTTGAGATAGCCAAATTGGTGGCCATGGCCTGCAAATACCGGTTTGGGCACTCACAACACCGACAAATGCTTTAATTCGGAGATATGGAATTTCAAACTTGCAGCACGGAATATATAGTCTACGACATGGAATGGACAGGAGCTTCGATTAGCATTGCCACGTGTGTAACCAAAAATCAAGGATTTTGCCGGATGAATATCCGGAGATCCGGAGGATGCGGATGAATTTCTTTTCACGTGGGTTTACATTTTCATATATTATTACGGAGCGAGCGAAGCGAGCGGAGTCTTACGTAGAATAACGGAAATTTCTGAGTATGAGCGGCCGGCCGGCCGGCCGGCCGGCCGTGCGGACGCTTTTGCGAGGCTTATATCTCAGCAACCACTTGACCGATTTACATGCGGTAATTTTTGTAGGGTAGCTTCATTCCTTCTACCAAGTATTGGACTATTCCCGATGCATGTGGGTGACCCCTTATGCACGTGCCACGTGCAAAACGAAGAGGTGTCACTTTTGTAATTGTTGCAATATCTCGGTAACTACTTGGCCGATTGCGCTGAAAGTTGGCATGTAGGTAGGCACCCACTAGGCACTGCATATCCATGTGCCAGAGTTGGGGTGCTGCTGCACGTGCGCACGTGCAGGGGTCGTTTCCAGATCTCGAGAACGGCTGGACCGATGGCGCTCAAATTTGGTACACGGTTAGGGACCAGTTAGTAGGGTGCCGTGCACAAGTCAGTTGGGACCCATTTTGCACGTGCGCACGTGCAGAGTGCCGCTTCCAGATCTCGAGAACGGCTGGGCCGATTGTGCTCAAATTTGGCACATCGCTAGAGACCAGTTAGTAGGGTGCCGCGCACAAGTCAGTTGGAGGTACTCCCTCGAAATTTCGCACGTGCAAGGTTCACCCTCTCGCTCGCTCCGTTACTCGCCCCAAAAGGCGTTATACTGGTCTTAACATTTCATACATTTTTTCTTAACAATCGTCGAATGATTCGTCTTCAAGGGCCAAGTTGTGACTGTGACTTTGAAATGGTAACCGTATATTTTATTGGAAACTTTTAGCACACATTGTTACGGCAGCATTTATACATATTCATTGCATTAGAGTTTTAACATTGGTCTAAAATTAAATGAAATTCGATGAAATTCGTCTAAAATTTGATGAAGATGAGGAAGTGCGAGCACTCGCGCTCTACTTTCAGGGTCCCAGGATTATATATGGCCTTGGTCCCAGGGCATATCGGTTCCTACAAGAACGGTACGTCCTTCCCCATCCTCGAACTCTGCGGAGGAAGATGGAAAAAATACAGATGCGACCTGGCTTTCATGACGCTATCTTGGCTCTCATAACTAGAGAAGTTCGTCGGAGCAAGTGCCAAGGACAAGCTGTGCATCATTTCGTTCGACGAAATGCAGCTGAAACCAAGGTTGGCCTACCAGCGGGGTGATGACGTCATCGACGGCTTCATTGATCATGGCTCTCTCTCTCTGCCGCGCCAATGCCTGCGCCGACCACGCCTTGGTCATGATGGTGCAGGGCGTCAGTGTCACCAAACGCTGGAAACAGCCCATCGGTTTCTTTCTGAGTTCCGGAACGACCAAGGCCGTTGTGCAGCAGCAGCTGTTAACACAGTGTGTCCAACGTGTAACAACAATAGCGGGATTCACTGTGCTAGCTACAACTTGTGACATGTCAAAGAACAACCAGGCGACCTACAGACTGCTCGGAGCTGCGGAAACCGGCTTGTTCACCGTGGACGGGCACGAGGTTGCTGCTCTGTATGACGTGCCTCACATCTTCAAATGCATACGAAATGCATTAATGAAATTATACGATATTGAAGTAGACGGTGAAGTAGCCTCTTGGAGTCATTTAGAAACACTCTACGCACTGGAATGCGCTTCTTTCTCACGGGCTGCTCCAAAACTAAGCCAGAAACACATCAGGCCAAACAGCTTTGAAAAATAAAAGTCAGCTATGCCCTACAGGTGATGAGCCGGACAGTAGCAGCAGCAATCACATTGCATGCGAGTCGACCCACGGCAAGCTCCCGCGCACTGCACTCCCGACTGCTACTCTCCTGCTGCGCCTCAACGACCTGCTCGATGTGCTAAACTCTTCCGCCCGGTTCGACCCCTGCTCAAAGCGACGCGCGATATCCAGCCTCCATCCAGCAACGGCGGGAGAACACATGCAGTTTCTTCAGGAGAGCGACGCCTGGCTGCAGTGGTGGACGGTCGGTGGCGGCGCCAGCATCGACTCCATTCGAGGACTGCGACAAACGATAAAAGACGTGGTGAAAATCTGGGACTTGTGTCAGGCTGCTGGGTGCACGTTCCTGTGCACTCGCCGCTTAAACCAAGATCCAAGCTACTGAAAATGAAAGAGTTTATCTCAGCAAAAATATATATTAGGCACATACACGGTGCCTGTGTAATGAAGAAACTTATAATGAAGAAACATTATGACAACGTTTGAAACGTTTAACACAACCCCTCCTCTAAATGCATTTATGAAACGTGAGTGGGCCAATAAAGGCAACTAGTTTTAACTGTAACAAAAAAGCACTTCTGGGCACGTAAATGGGGTAAATGTGGTAAAAAGTGGTAAAATTCACCGCCCCATATCGCCTCTATACCGGAAACCCGTTTTAACCCCCGAAGGACATTGGCAATAGAGCAGGATCGTTCATGTTTATCAAAACAGCCGGCAACTTTCTATCGCAGCGAAAGGTTGGCTAGGACGAGAGTCATTGCTTTCACTGACTATGACAAACCTACTCGAACGGATTTTCACCTAGGAAGTTACCAAACGAATGTTGAAAAATACATCAGCACCATGAAAAAAACCTTACCCACCATGCTCAGCAACGCCGCCTCCCGCCGGCGTCCACCGGAAAAGGGCGGCAAACGAGCGAAGCTTAAATTGTCAGAAGTGATTCCAGACAGCAACACCTGATTAGAATAAAATGCACCTTCTCATATTGCCCCGGTAACCCGTTATGCCCCACCTTCCCATATTAGTTATAGGTCTGGCAACTACATACATATACTTTCATCCTCGTAAAGGAAGTAACCACAGCGAATCCGCACGACTAAATCATCAGGTCGCCAAAAACTCGGCAGT